TGATGGGAAAACTTATGGTGGGTGGCAGGACCAGACTCCGCCCACAGGCTCGGGGTTTGAGCGGAAACTCATAAGTCCGATAAAGGTCTATAATGAAAATCGGTTCATGTGGCTCTGTCTGGCTAGAGCCCTAGCGCACGCTATCGCGTGCGTAACCGCCTGGTATATGCGTGTCCCAAAATCATGAGCATCCATTTATACAATGTATTCAGAGCTTCTAAGCTAAGAATGGATGCAACTGATATGCTCCTCTGCTTGCACCTTGTGCAACAACGAACTCTATTTCAAAGATATCCTCTCTTTGCATGGATAGAGGCCCAAAGCTCGCTCTCGAACACCTCCCATGTTGCACGCAGTTATCCCTCGACCATTTCTTCCCTGCTGATTTTGAATCTTGATTTCAGACATTACCGACTGGAATTTCAAGCCAAAAAAATTCTCTCCTATTCAGAGTCAAGTGGCATAAGATCTGGAGAGCAGGGTATGAACATGATGTCGAGCAGCTGACTTCGGCAGCATTCTCAGACGAACCTGGCTTTGCGGTTCGGAGTACCATCCTTCTAGAATGACCACGGGTCGCTCCTTGCACCGCGCAGGATCAATGCTTCGGTACGTCTTTAAGAACACGTATTTGACAATTACTACGCCACTATGAACAAAGCCATGGGCGCCTACCATTGACCGTGACTCCCTCAGTAAACAACATTTTGCCATTCTCATAACACCTTCCCCGTGAAAGATCCCGCTTTCGATGTGTCTGTCTGAGACACAACCGTCTTACTTGGTGATTATTGATTCTCTCGTGAAAATTCTCTTGCTCGATAGAAGGAGTAAGGAACGCGTGTGTACAAGCAACCTCTTGAAAGTGGCATCTAGGGCGCTAGAAACGGCAATGAAACTTCTGCATGACAATCATATTCAACGACAACTTCGAAAATTTCTGATTCATCGCCTTTGTTTTAAAACCCAAGATAACGATCCACTCGCCACCAGAATATTTTCATACTCCTGACTTTAATGAAACTAGCCTTTCTTCCAATTCCAACTTTTCCGATAATTCGGCTTCCCTGTATAATTAATGAGGTTCTGTACGAACATTACTGAAACCACTTGGAAAATACTACGTACATGCGCCTCTTGCATGCAAACTATCGCAAGTGGAATCGAATGAGCCCTAATGACTTGCAAGAATCGGGAATCTCACCTCAGTAAAAAAAGCATATTGCGAGGGAACCTGTAACACCAATTAATAGCGAATGACATAAAATTTGTATAGAATTTGCTAAAAAATTTGCTAAACTTGCTCAAAAAGATTCTGAATACTGGCGCCCATAACTTCGGGACACCCTGTACATATAACAATAAGGGCACGTCTTTATGTCCGCACCTTTAACCCCACACGTGTCAGAACCTGGTAAGCTACAAGTGGGAGCTCGAGAACAAAAATATAATTTAGCGTCATTTCCCAGACCAGAAGGAGTCCCCAATACGAAAGCGTTGGGTAAAGACATAGGTTAAATCCCAGGGTCTTAACGGGCCGCTTGAAATGAGAACTAGGATGTCGATATGTACTTCTGAAGCCCGACGGCATCGGAAGCGTGTATCGAAGAGCTGATTAGGCTGTCCAGGCAGTACCTTTTGGAAGGCAAAGTACCCACTTCGTGGAAAAAGAGACTGTTTCGCTGTATAAAAAAGGTGATCCAGACGATATTGGCAACTATTTCCCAATACGCCTGCTGTCTGTCATCCACAGACTTTTAATATGCTTCATCCTCAACAGCTTCGGCAGGATAGTAGATGAAAGGCAGGCATAATAGCAAAGCGGGTTTCGGAGAAAGCTCAGTACAAACGTTTATATCCACACTGTTACAGGACTCACTGAAGCATAGTGAGAATAGAAGTTGCCATTATGCCTGAGATTCGTCGATTTTAAGAAAGGCTCCGATACTGTTGAGACAAAAGTAATTATCGAAACCCTAGGCGACGAGGGTATTCTAGTCATTACATGAGGATGCCTCGGAAACTCTACAACAATTTTACGGCCAAGATCGAGCAATTCTATAAGGAGATCATTGTCAATCGAAAAAAGGGGCTCTTTAGAGCGAGTCGATTTCGCCCGAACTTTTCGGTGCCGTTCTCGAAATTAACAAATACGTCATCTGAGAGGGCAAGGCTTGGGACTATAAGTCAACAGCCGCTACATACATCACCTACGCTTTACAGATGACATCGTGCTCATAGCATCGTGCATCGAGAAGGCAAAACGAACGCTGGCCCAATTCGACAACGCCCGTGGAATTCGGCTCGAGAATAAATTAAACGGAGACCAAGTTTATGAGAAATAGATTGGATTGGTACCTGATGCACCTAAATGGAACAAACATCTCTGAATTGTTTAGCTGCGTATCTCTAGGCCGAGAAGTCGATACGATGAACAACCTAGCTCTGGAGCAGAAGGAAACGCACCGTTTGGGTAGCATTTGAGCATTTTGTGGAAGCAGCAAAGATGGCAAAGAACATCGAGCTCCGCGTTTACTTTTTCGACATTGCTGTCCTCCCTTCTTTGAGGAACTCCTCGGATACTTGACTCTACGGAAAGATGAACATGCTGTCAGCGTCATCGAACGGGGACAATTCGGTGAGAACGATATTCATGATTTCTCTACAAAAGCAAGTGGTGGAAGGAATCCGGAGTTCCAAGCTCTGTCAACGACTAGAGATTAGAGAAACCGTTGAACACGGCAAGAAATCGGAAATTGGGTGGGCTCTGCTGGTCATGCTATATAGTGAAGACCGTTGGGCCAAGGCAGCTGGTACTGAATCCCTCAGTACGTCAAAGGAACTCAAGGATGGTCGCCAGTGCAATGGTCAGACTTCTTCACAAAAGCTCTTGACGTAAGGAATGCTGTGCCTCGTGTCCTTCGAGCGAGAACTACCCACTAGACATTTCTGGCTCGCGACAGCGACGAGAGGAGACGTTACCCTCGCCCGCTCAAGGAAATTGTACAGGTGACACAATATTCTTCATTTTGTGCTGACACTGAAACCCGGTTCTGCAGGAAACGTGCCAAAAAACATTTGAGACAAAGGCAAAGTATACGGAGGGAGAGCGTGACTATAAAGTTGCCTCTACAGTTGCGTAGCAGTAATGTTAAGTCATATAGGAGCCACAAGATAGAGCTGCGTGCGTTTCTTACCACGTCGCTCACATGGTCTGTTTTACTTCTCCTCCCTAGAAGCGCAACTACAGGATGCTTTTGTATTCGAAGTTTCACAATATGGCGATATCGCTGTAGCAGCTTGTGAACTGCGTAGTAATCAAATCGCAGAGAGTCAATCGCAGTTTGAATGCCTATGACATAATTAACGGTGCTCAGCTGATGTGCGAGTCCCTGCTTTAATCCTTCCTCCTGCTTCCTCAATCCTTGAGTAATAACGATCAAGTGAGTGCGGGGAAATCAAACTCTTGGTTGGCCCATACAGGCACCAATCTGGATATTGGACTGCAGACCGTGCGTGCGATCGTGTGCGCCACGCCATTTGCCACTACACCACGCCGGCTCAATACACAAACTATAATCATCAAACTTTGTAGGCTCAGGACACAGCGATAATGAAATGGTTCGAAGAGAAAAAGTTCGAGGTGTTTATGGATGTGACGTACTATGAGCAAGCAAGAACGCACACAAAAATCCATCTGTTTTGTCCTTTCAGTTCAGACTGAGCAATTATTCTCGAACATTAAAATTTTGGCTCGTTAAGGGCGTGAATTAAGGATTAGGAAATCTTTGAAACCCTCATGTTGAGCGGAAGACCATACAGGCCGTTGAGACTGGAATCGAATCTTTCTTTCCTAATCAAAAACCAACATTTTCGCTAATGGCTTCTGATTTAAGCGTTTATGCGCTACCACCACCGTTGCTCTTCTTGATACAAATGAATAGTGATTCTGAAATCTATGTTTCACTTCCAGTTTGTTCTAAATCCTAACATTTTTGAGAAGTAAACTCGTTAATGGTACAATTCACAACATATGACCTGCCTATCAGTAACTTACCCGCCTCAACTTGGATGCTGGGTTCATTGAGCTATTGACCATTCCATAAAATGTTGAACATTGGGTGGTGCAGAAAACATCTGCCGAAAATTTCATAACAGTTAGGGTTTCTCCCTTGAAAGCATTCATAGAAATACCACGAACACTACACACTTGTGTGTGGACAGAATTTTAGCTTTCGCCTTCGACCTCTTTATTTCAAGCTGTGATGCATCGGAACGAGGTGTGCACAGAAAAGCTCAGGAGAGGCTTCATCGAATGCATGACTCAATTTTTTATGGGTTAAGCAACAGAGAGACTGGATTCGAGCTCAAGAGTACTACGTGTTGGATATCAGTAGACAATATGACCTTTGTGTGGTTCGATAAGCAAGAAAGAGGGTATAGATGTGCCTAGTCTCCTTACTCAAAAAACCCTGAGGAGGCTCCTGAAAACATCGTAACAAATCGTGGATATTGCGAATTTTTCCAGCAGATACTTTCGTCACGACTTAATAATTTCTGTTCACCTAAGAGTGCAAGAGTAATGGTAGCAAAGGTGCAATATCTTTATTTGAAAACAATCAAAATTCATGCTCCCTCCATCTGCTGTTGATGGCACAACAAAATCCGATTTTATCACCACTATTTGATTTTTATTATGATCCGACAGCTCCTCGAATTCTTGAAGCAATCTATTCTGCCAAGCCTTCACGGTCTAAGCACTACCACAGTTTCAGCAGCACTGGCTTGTTATGAATTAGATGTATTTCAGTGCTTGTACTTTGCATTTCGATGGCAACTCTTTGCCTGTTCAGATTGCACGATTAATGGACGATTGATATATAGTTTGTGAATGCTCATTGAAAATAATCACCAAAGGAATATTGTAAGAATACACTCAATATCAAATCCACACCTCCTCTGTAGAATAGCTCGTCCGAACGCCGAGAGGTATGATTCATTCCTTGGCTCCAGATCCATAAGGTACACTGTTATAAACATAGAAACCTAAATGCTTCGTTCCCAGCAAAAAGCGCGTTCGTATTTTTCATTACTATTATTACAGATAGTGTGATGAACTACTACTCACAGGTCTTTTTTCAAGAATATTGGTCTGAATCTCGGGTGGAATGTAATCTTTGACATCCTCAATTTCCGGCGTGCACATTTCTGTTTCAATGTCATACAGTCCAGGTAGCATTTCATCGCATCTAAATCAGCATATGGAGTTTTTGTGAACACTAAGTTTTTTCCATTCCCTGTGCTATAGCAAACTAGAGGCTGAATTTTATCTGAATATTGAGTCATTAGATCGCTTGTGTCGTAATGACTGCCGCTATTTGTTCACTCGTTATCTCGAGCAATCAGAAAAACCTTTTATCGGAAAACATTTGCTCATCTAGAAATGGTCAAGATTCTGTCGAGAGGAAGCTCTGTCGCAGCTCTAGCAACCTTGCTTCTAGGTCATAATAGACAAAGCACTGCAGTTTGTTCTACGTTGGAAGAATCTATTCTCTATTTATCTTCACTACACAATCTCTTTACTAATATAAACCACGAATTTTGGGTGTCTATGTGTTCGTTTGTCTGTTTGATTGTTCGTTTGTTTATCTGTCACCACTAAGTGGAGCATAAGCTAAATTCCTAACACACATAGGAACTGCGCTTCTCAGAGCACGCATGACTCAAGCTGGACTCTGCCCACGATTGTCGTGGAGCGCAGAAGACAGGTCGTACGTCATGGCAGGTAGGGTGGGCGGTGCTTGAGTCAGAAATATTATATCGAATGCCTGCACTCGGAATCAAATCATTCTAGAGACCGAGAAAAATATTAAAAGCTAGCAATTGTAAGAAATAAATTTCTATGGTTGGCGGGGCTAAGGTCTTGAATTAGAGGTCCTATTCAGAATTTTAAACAATAAAAGAGTAAAGTAGCTTAAAAAGGGTCAACAATGACCAAAAGACATCTGCCAATTCATTCCTAGTTCCTCGTTCGGCTGAAAAAATAGGCAACAAAAATATGCCTATAGCAGCAGAAATGACACTGATGTCTCATCGTCTCGGCGAGTAAATTTTGATGGAATTATCAAATAACGGTTGTGCAAAAATTCTCATTCAAAGCCAGTTGAGCGGTAGCAGTTTGGAGGTGAAGATTCATTCGGAGACCCTCTCTGAAGCTTCATAATCTCTTTATATATTAGGTTGAGCTATAAGTCCTCGGACAATGTGACTTCTAGAGATCATAACTCGGGAAAGAAGTGACGAACATGAACGCGCGAAGCTCTTTTAGATAGAGTATCGAAAGCTCTTTCAAATACATTTAAATGTATACGCCTGACCGTTTCCTGCGCTCGAGCGTGAGGAGAGAATGTGCCATGTCGACGCGGTAGCCCATGTCATACTGCTTCAAGGCACCCATCGACCGAGCTTTCGCACCTTGCCGATTAACTTCAATCTACGAATGATTGTAAACCGACTTTCCAGTAATGACTGTCATTTCACGAGTAGTTTGATACGGATCGGCTTCCGCCTGGCTCCGCAGCACGTCCAAATCCAACTCCATTGAGCGTCCCGGACGATCTTCATTTTCATGGAGTAGTCGTCCGACGTGAACTTCGTGTGCCACTTGTAGATTTCGCATATAAGATAACCCTCTTGTAAACTTCTTTCATACGTCTATTGATCTCCGCAGATTCTTGGCCAGATAAAAAAAGAAACAGGATGGTGTTACGCAGGTGGAGTTGCGACGGCTTGAAATCAACATGATCGCAGATAAGGAAACAGTTAGATGTGTTCATAAGTAAGTATTCTAAAGAGCATTTCATACTCTATCTAACTGTTCAAAACACGTTCATTTTAGTCTTCTCTTTCCCGAGTTATGATCTCTAGAAGTCATCACTACCTTGTTGTCCGAAGACTTATGACTCAACCTAATACAAAGCGGTAAATTTGTTTGTTTGTTTGTTCTGTGAGCGAGGTGAGGAAGTAGTTGTGAAATAGGAAGTAAACCGATACTGCTTATATTGGCCCTCTAACAAGTCGTACGTAAGGGGTAGTGAGCATGTGGTGCACGCGTTAGCGTGCGTAGCCCAACTGGTTGTCTACATAAAGAGATTAGACGAGAACGAACGCATTTGTTCTTCAATTGCCATTCGTTGGATTTGCGCGTTTCTGATGGAGAATCCATGACCTTCGCAGGGACAAGAAATAGTTCTGCAGCATTCCATCCGAATGTTTCCATAAAGAAGGGAAGCCGCTGGCGTTTGACGGTCAAGACCAAGGTCGGCCCAATTAGAAAGAGAAATGTTCAGAATAAATAAAGTGGCGCTCAGATCAGTCATATAATCCACGAAACAAAGTGTCACTGGGTTTGCACATCAACAACTTCATTAGTGAATTACGAACAGCGTTTCGTCTGCATCGTAGCTACAACATTAGTTTTCAAAACGTTCTGCATCAATACCGCTAACAGTGACATGGTCATGATGGAGCGGTAGTCGAATAATCGATGTCTGCTAGACAACGCTGGACGCTAATACATCTACGATTAACCTCTATGCAGGAAAACGATTTAACTCATCAAAAAGAGTAGGCATCTTCGACCTAGAAAAACATTACTAGCCATTTTACTAGGCTTCTCTCTGGTATGACGATCTAGTTCTTCGAGAAGGAGGACTTCTCTATCATTTGATAATGTGAAGAGATTGGTGTGTTGAGGAACAGAATTGCAGAGGTGTTCCCTTATCATGTTTGCTTGAGACAGAGTAAATTGGTGAGTTGTGACAGAGGGAGCAGTGAAAGGATCATAATGATGAACGTCCTTCCATGAGCCATACTTGATCTTAATGCAGCCTCATCTAGGCACGGTTCACGTTAACCTTGGATAATCTAGATTATGACGAAAAATGGAAGATAAGATGGAAAATAGGGCGATGAAGGCGAAGAAGCTACGTAAATCGGTGATTTTAAAGTGAAAAAGGCTTCCGGTGAGTTGTGACAGAGGGAGCAGTGAAAGGATCATAATGATGAACGTCCTTCCATGAGCCATATTTGATCTTAATGCAACCTCATCTAGGCACGGTTCACGTTAATCTTGGATAATCTAGATTATGACGAAAAATGGAAGATAAGATGGAAATGGGGCGATGAAGGCAAAGAAGCTACGTAAATCGGTGTTTTCAAAGTGAAAAAGGCTTCGAAAAGTCATTAAAAAGGAGGCTGAACGAGAATGAGTTCAGAAAAATGACGAAGGATGGGGCGTTTAGACGAGCTACACACTGTACCTCATTGTGTATGTGTGGATCCTGGTGCGGAAAGCTGACTATGGTAAGCGAAAATTCATCCAATTATAAGCATAAGTTGACAAAAAACCCTAGTATCAGCAAGAAAAACCAACCTTTCTCAGCCTCATGAGGTAGAGAATAAAAACGAAGATCGCAGCAGCAAAAAGAATAAAACAGGAAAAAGAATGGGAGAAACATATCGTCTCATCACTCTGCGATCAGCTGATTGTGTGTCGGTCCTGACGCAAATTCTTGCAATCTGTGTCACCTTGACACTCGTCCGACGTGACGTCGGTCGAGGGACGGGAAGGCCGGACAAGCTGAAAACGGGGCTCCTACTATGCCCTAACCATCGAGTTTTTGAGCGCGAGAGGGCCCTTCCTATTACCCTTGCGGGCCACAGGGCATTCTTAAGGGAAGAACTCAGTAGCCATATGAATCGAGAACTGTGCCTTCAAAGTCTCGTGTCTATCGCCGGAGCGCAAATTTGTCGGTAACACTGCCTGTGCCACCAGCGTGTGAAAAAGCTAGCATAGCATTGTTTCTTTCACTCCTGTCTCATCGGCGTTCACATTGTGTAACTGCATATACCCTGTCCTCAATGGTTTTCCTTGAGACCCGGCAGAAAACCTCACCAATGACAAACCGCAAGCCACCAGCGAGACTTGGAAAGCGTGAAGTGAAGAAGGCGGAATCTTCATCGATCTGATGACCTCTCTTGGCAGCTTACTATCTCTCTTTTTATTTCACCCAATTTCCGAGACCTAGCGTTTCCTGATTCTCTCCATCACAATCATGCTCAGCTGAAATGCGACTCTTAAGTACCTCTTTAGCTAATTGAACATATGTAGTTCTACCTTCATAGTTTTCACATCGAAAGAAATTCAAGGTGTCTTCTGAAGCCTCCTTTATTTTTAAACAAATATATGCAAAAACTACTATGGGAAAACCACTGAGAAATACGGCAGGCCAATCTACAACAGAACCCTTTCACGAGCACAAGCTCTCCAAATGCATCGTACTACTCAAGACATGCTGCCAATGTCCTATTCAATCTTAGAGAATCTCACTTGAAACCCAAATTTCGCCGCTTAGACCAGGAAAAAAATCCGTTCACCTTTTCCACACTAAGTTTGCTTTCTAGGAACAACACGGAAAATTCATCATGAAAATTCATTATATTAGTACTATTTGCAAACCGTTGACTTCGAAAATATGTGAGTTGAATTTATGCGTATTTTTCGTAAATTCGCATTCCGCATATATGTAGGTTCATGTGATCATAATACTGCTCGCACTTCTCCGAGAGAGAATTCAACTCTATCACAAAATTCACTTCTACATAGAAAGACATATAAAATTGATTACTGACTCACTGTACATCGGGAAAATAGCAAAACCCAACTCATAGGAGGAGAAGATGATCTTCTACTCATTCCCTGGAATTCCTTCACCCAGAACACATTTGATAGCGACATCACTTTAGTTTCTGCTCCATAAGCATGAAGGGCCACGGTTGACCGTAGAAAAAGGAGCTACTTTTTAGAAACAGAAACACACCTTCATTGATAAATCAATTTGACTTTACCTAACTAACCCAAATTAAAACTCAACACGGGATAAACAATGACTCCTGACGTTCCGGTGCCATTAGCCATCAACATGTAGGCTCAGATTATACCAGTGAAAAGAACATTCCTCACTTCGACAGGGGAAATGCTCGGATGACCGCTTTGACCGGATTAACTCCCAAAACAGCTTCGTCGTGAAAGAGTCAACTTGATCTGCCGCCGCCTGAAACATCCCTTTCGTTTTTTGCCAGAGCTACGTGGCGCATTAACAGGTGGCGGGTAGAGGAATTGGACCGGCGGACCGTCGGTACATTTCCAGAGACGCAGGCTAATTCGGGATAGACTTC